CACTCAGAGCATCCAGAGCTTACTGGGAGACAAGTGGGAGACAAGTGGGAGACAAGGGTGAAATCATGCGGCCAGGAACACAAGCCCGGAGACAAACTCAAAATCATCCGGCCCGAGCATGCACCCCTTTAAAAGGAGTAAGAACCCCTCACAGGTAAACCTGTTTGGGGAAAAATTACACCACCATAGACCCCAAACAGTTTGTGCTTTTCAACATCGGAACACTCTGCAACTAGAGCTTGCGACGTCCAGAGCTGGGAGACAAAAGATTGCAAGGCAGAGGCGGCCACAGCAATCCAGAGCTTGGAAACAAATGAAAGGATTGCAAGCGACATGTAGCCCAGAGCTGGGTGACAAATCCGACCCCTTGGCGAGCGCCAAGCGCTCCGCCTGCCACGCAAACCACACCCACACACCGGGGCGACCAGGAGCACCAGGGCGTGCGTCCGACCGCTTGGAGAGCGCCAAGCGCTGCGCCTGCCACGCAAATCACGCCCACACAGCGGCGGCGACCAGGGCGTACGTCTGACGCCTTGGAGAGCACCAAATGCTGCGCCTGCCGCGCAAATCACCAGGAGCACCAGGGCGTACATCCGAATTCTTGGAGAGCGCCAAGACAATTGGTTGGTGGCACTTGGTTGGTGACAACTCGTTGGTGACAATCGGTTGGCGCAAGTTTGTTGGCAATTGGTTGGTAGCAGTTTGTGGGTGGAAGTTTGCGGCAATTGGTGGGTGGCAATAAGTTGGCGACAATTGGTTGGTCGCAATTGGTTGATAACAATTGGTTGGTGACAATTGGTGGGTGGCAATTGGTTGATGACAATTGGTTGATGACAATTGGTTGGCGACAATTTGTTGGTAGCAATTTGGTTGGTGAGGAGCGAGGAGGAGGAGGCGGAGGAGGAGGAGGAGGGCGGAGGAAGGAGCGGATACCGCACTAAAAACAAAAAACACACGTGAATGTGGGGAAATGAGAACCCCTAACAGTAAACTGTTTGGAGAAAAACTGTGGCCAACACTGGTAGGATTCGATCGCTCTTGGGAAGAACCGCTTCAAAGCATGCGTCGGAACCGCTTCTTCTTCCCGATGCCCCCTTCTGGCCCTTCTAAGTATATATATATGTGTGTGTGTATATATATTGTGAAACTGGCAGCCACTTCCCCAGAGCTTACCTGAAGCTGCTCTCGATCTTTTCCACCGGCGTCCGCGCGCTCTCGGCGCCTATGGCATCAAGCCAACGACGCCACACCCTACCCGCCTCGAAGGCTCCCTGGATCTCGTCTGTCAGGGCATATGTACCTTCCTTGAGCGCTGTTCGAAGAAATTGAGCTTGCGTGCGTTTATAAAGTCAGGGCGTCTGCCAGTTGCGCTCCCGAATGGACCCACCTCAAGTTCGAGCCAGGAAATTTGGTCTCAGGTGGAGGCCAATGCTGATGTTTCAGCTGCCAAGGATCTTTTTGCTTCCCTATGAAATTGGACTAATGGGGGCTGAGGTGTTATTGGATATGGCCTGGTGTGTTCCTAGAAACATCATTCCTGCGTGTGAATCAGGCCGTGATTTGGAAGCATCCGAAAAGGAAAATCGGACATGGCAATATTGGTTGAATGGTTGCAGTGACATCATGGTATCGCTTGGCTTCGTGAAGCACGCGATTGGCTAACAACAATGTTTCGACTGTCCCTGTGTTGATTTGTGACTGTAGATCATTTACCTTGCAGGTCAGGTCGAGTCACAGGCATATTGGAAGGAATCGATAAACCCTCGAAGTTGCTGTTTTTCCTCTTCCGTGATGGATGTTGCTGTCTGAGAACGTCTTTCTGCATCTATTTTAATAGCTGGGATTGTACCCACATAGCTTTGGGACAACGCGATGCTTGCATTTGGATTTTGGTGAACTTCAATCCCCGTGACCGTGAAACTACCCTGCTTCTTGGAACCGGCTTTCTTCCAAAACTCCATTTTGCGCCAATCCTGGCTTCCTTTGGGCGCGTGTGCCAGTCCTGGCTTTCTTCCAGGACTGGGCGCGCGCACAACAACGCCTCCTCCTCCTCCTCCTCACCCTGATGCTTCTGCTCTTCCACCTGGATGCTCCCAAACGTCAGATGTTCAGGAGCTCCGCTACCAGTGTAAAACTGGCAGCCAACCCAACAACAAAGCTCTTCCTTCCACAAGAAGCTTCGTGAAGCTGCTCTCGATCTTTTCCACCTGCGTCCACGTGAGACACCCTGCTCTCTGCACCCATGGCGTCAAGCCAACGATGCCACGCCCTACCCGCCTCGAAGGCTCCCTGAGCCGTGATGGCTTGTGTGTGATCTCATGATCATGGTGTTCAACCATCGAGAATCCTTCTCATGGTTGACAAATTCACAATGTAATTGTATATATATATTATATATATATATATACTGTATATTGACTTTGAGTCTTTGAGGGCAAGTCCTGGCAATCTCTTCTCGGTTTCCAGCCAGTTGAGCAGCAGTCAACGTAGCAAAACTGCAAAGACCAAAATGTATAATGGCTGAATTCTATTGTCAAGAACAAATTCAATCTACCAGCGTAGACCCGAAGCCACAGGGGCAAACTGTCAAACAGTCAGTCAACGGCTCGAACCGTTCCAGCTCGCGGCGATCAACTCGGACCTTCTGGAGCGGAAATTCAAACGAAAACCGAACATATGCTAATCGACTGAATATGCTGAGTTGCACTGACATGTGGCTTTGTCGTGCTTTGTATTGCTTAGAAGACGTTAACAACTTTCAACCCACCATGAATGTGTGGCAAATGTTGTAGTCTGTCTGGCAATGGCCCTGCAAAGAGTATCTAAGCAGGGAGCTAAGCAAAGGGAGACAAGTGGAGGCAAATGGAAAGCGAGTGTAACGAGTGTAAGAGCATCCGGCCAAGAGTGCCTAAGCAGGGAGACAAGCAAAGAGACAAGTGGAGACAAGTGTAAAAACATCTGGCCAAGTGTATTCAGAGTAGGCCGAGACAAGTCGGAGACAAGTGCAACAAGTATAAAATCAGCAGGCCAAGAGCCTCCAGCCAAGAGTACCTAACCAGGCGACAAGCAAAGAGACAACTGGAGACATGTGTAAAAACATCCGGCCAAGCGTTTCTAGAGGTGGTCCGAGACAAGTGGGAGACAAGTGGGAGACAAGTGGAGACAAGTGTAACAGGAAGGGGGGACTAGCAGGGAGACAAAAGTAAAAACATCTGGCCAAGAGTGTCTAAGCAGGGAGACAAGCAAAGAGGCAAGTGGAGACAAGTGTAATAAAAACATCCGGCCGCCGGAGTAAGCCGAGACAAGTGGACACGCATAACAAGAAGGGAGATAAGCAGGGAAACAATTGCACAATCATCTGGCCGAGAGCGTCCAAGCAAGGAGACAAGCAAAGAGACAAGTGGAGACAAGCGGCCTAAGCACCCACAGCGACGGCCAGAGCACCCACAAAATTATACCGGCATAGACCCCAGATAGCGCTTCCAGAAAAGGATGGCATGGCAAGAGCGGGAGACAAGCTTGGGAGACATCCCACTCAAAGCCGGGAAAAGATGGAAACGGTAAACAAGACCTATATAAATCATCTTATAACAGCGTCCGCGTCAAAGGCCAGCAAGAAAATGACAAGGCGGCAGCGGCAGCCAAGAAAGAAATCAGGAACAGAGACAAGCTTGGGAATCACGGCGGCAGCGGCAGCCAAGAGCGAAATCATGAAGGGAGACAGGCTTGGGAGACCAGGCGGCAGCGGCAGCCAAGAGCGAAATCATGAAGGGAGACAAGCTTGGGAGACAAGGCGGCAGCGGCAGCCAAAAGCGAAATCCTGAAGGGAGCCAAGCTTCACAGACAAGGCAGCAGCGGCAGCCAAAAGCGAAATCATGAAGGGAGACAAGCTTTGGAAACAAGGCGGCAGCGGCAGCAGCAGCCAATTTCCGCAATCATGAACCCGTCCATTGAGAAGTAAGAACCCCTATAGCTTCGCTATCTGGGGGGAAAAGTCATGAAGGGAGATAAGCTTGGGAGACAAGGCGGCAGCGGCAGCCAAGAGCGAAGTCATGAAGGGAGACAAGCTTGGGGGACAAGCCGGCACAGGCAGCCAAGAGCGAAATCATGAAGGGAGACAAGCTTGGGAGACAAGGCGGCAGCGGCAGCCAAAAGCGAAATCATGAAGGGAGACAAGCTTAGGAGTCAAGGCGGCAGCGGCAGCCAAAAGGGAAATCATGAAGGGAGACAAGCTTGGGAGACAAGGCGGCAGCGGGCAGCCAAAAGCGAAATCATGAAGGGAGACAAGCTTGGGAAACAAGGCGGCAGCGGCAGCCAATTTCCGCAATCAGGAACCCATCCATTGAGAAGTAAGAACCCCTATAGCTTCGCTATCTGGGGAAAAATTGGAGACAAGTGGGGCAAATGTAAAATCATGCGGCCAAAGCACCTACACAAGACTGGAGACCATGGGCGACAAGTGTAAAGTCGTGCGGCCAAGACACCCACAGCGCACTGGAGACAGTGGGAGACAAATGGGAGACAAGTCATGCGGCCAAAGCACCCACAAGCGAGTGGAGAGAGTGGAAGACAAGTGGAAGACAAGTATAAAATCACGCGGCCAGAGCACCCACAAGGGACTGGAGACAGTGGGAGACAAGTGGGAGAGGGAGACAAGTGTAAAATCATGCGGCCCGGTCATGCATCCCTTTTCAAAGGAGTAAGAACCCCTCACAGGTAAACCTGTTTGGGAAATATTTTCTTGCCTCTCTCTGAAGTCTAGGCCCTCCTGCTGTCGCAAGGGGCTTTTGTCAGAGAACTCCTGTCATCATCACATGCGCTTTTATGAAAACAAAAGTTTCAGGGGAGCTGTGACAGGTGGAATGGCCTCCTTCGAGTATCCGCCAGGAAAGACCACGTCCTCACATGGACACGCATAAGAGGTTTCACGTGACTGATCTGAACTTAGGAGGCTTGGTAGTTGAAGAAGAACCAAGAACCTTTCGCAAGCAGGTGGCGAAGCAGGCGTTATGAGTAAGACACAAGACTCTGATAACGGCGCTCAGTAATGCTCCCGACATGGAGCTGTCCAAAGCGCGGGCGAAAAATATAAAGACGCGTTTGTCTTGAAGTCAGGTTTTGGTCCAAGCCTATGTCACCTCGTCCCACGCCATAGCACCACTACCCCAGATCCCATCCTTGCGCCCATAGCATGTCATCCATCCACCCCACAATCCACCCATCTACTCTACCCACGCCCATCGATCCATCCGTCTGTCCGTCCATCCTTGTTCTTTTTTGCACTTACGTCTATGGATGCGTCAACTTATTGAAAAAATATCCCGGCGAGAGACCCCAAACAGTGTGTGTTTGTGTGAGGTCTGTAAAGTGAGTGTGAGCGCGAGTGTGAGTGAGAGTGAGAGTGGGAGTGTAGTGTGAGTGAAAGTGGGAGAGTGAGAGAGTGAGCATCTGAGAGCTGAAAATACTGCACCCGCACACGAAATATGCACTTCGAAGTTCCTGCCACGAAATCTGCACTTCGAGGTTCACAAAGTGCTGCGCCTGCCACAAAATCTGCACTTCGAGGTTCGCCAAGCGCTGCACCTGCCACGAAATCCACACCTCGAGTTTCAAAAAGCGCTGTACCTGCCACAAAATATGCTTCGAGGTTGACAAAGGGCTGTACTGTACCTGTCACGAAATCTGCACTTCGAGGTCCACCAAGTGCTGCAGCTGCCACGAAATCTGCACTTCGAGGTTCACCAAGTGCTGCGCCTGTCACGAAATCTGCAGTTCGAGGTTCACAAAGCGCTGTACCTGTCACGAAATCTGCACTTCGAGGTTCACAAAGCGCTGCGCCTGCCACGAAATCTGCACATCGAGGGTCACAGAGCGCTGCGCCTGCCACAAAATCTGCAAACGAGGCACATGTCCAGCCAAAAGTCACGATTCACTGCACCTGTCACGAAATCTGAGCTCCTCGACGATCACCACCATGTCCAAAGTGCTGTACCTGCCACGAAAAACTGCATTTCGAAGTATAACAGCTCCGATCCCTTGCGCCTGTCACGAAAAGAGCGCCAGAACACGAGGCTTCCCCTGCGCCTGCCACGAAAAGTCACCACCGTGGCGCCAAAACGAGAGCACAGTCGTGACAAGCGCACGCTCCAGCCACCCAGATTCTGCGAGCCTGCGCAGTCGAAGTGCGCATGGACGATGCCGAGAGGCATGAATGTACTGTAAATTGCAGCGAATTGGCCGGACACGCCCGCGCGGAACAGCGATCTAAGCACACCTGCTTTTCACCTACCATAAGAACCCCTCAGTGTGCCCCCACACTGTTTGGGGAATAATTTGCTGTTCAGCAGTATTGCAATTTGCACCCTTCTAACAGCGTTTGCTTCAGTTACCAGGATAGAATCCATGGCTACGCAAATTCCCTATGCAGAAACCCATTGCTACGCCATCTGTTTTAACGGCAGAAGCCTCAAGAGTCGTTTGACACGGTCACGGGCTCCACGGGCCCAACGGGTTGACGGGACGGGGTCAAGGATGGGCCCGCCACGGGCGACACCAGGACCCGAGCCCTCTGAAACGTTTCGGCTTTGAAATGGTTTTGATATCAGAATGGCCAGATGGTAAGTTTATTGGCGCTTGTGAAAATGCTTTTTGATGCCATCAGTCGGCAGAGCTCGGACTGTTCATATGTTAAAGAACATTAACTATACAATATAGTCCAGTATTTCCTTTGATAGATGAACGGGGCACCAATAGAAGAAGGGATGACATAGAAAATTAGAGTTCTTGTACTGATGCAGAAAGTAAATGCCAAGGAAGACTGATGGTTGCCCTCTATACTTGATATTTATGTTCATCTGCTGTCTCAGCTAGGGCCACGCGAAAAGGTGGGCACATAGAGGGGTGGTTGGAACAAATCTGGCCTTCTCTCCGAACAGGTAGAGGGCAACGCTGGCCTTACAACTACACCACTTGATCTGTTCATACGCGCCACCGTGGAACAAAAATACACTTGTCCCACTTCTGCCTTGCGCTGCACGGGACGCACCTCCTACCCACCTTTAATCATGAACTCAAGCTATGGTTTTCACCTTGATTGGACGTCGGCATGCCAAGTATCAAGCCATTGAAAGCATTGTCAGAAAGCAACACTGCTACACCGTCATGTCCACCACCAAAGGCGTTTTGGACTGTACAGAGAAACCAGCAGGAAGCTCAAATGCACCAACATCGCGCTCTCAATCTGTTGCGAAAAAGATCCAAGGAAACTCAACAAGGAAAAAACTGGATCAAGCAAGACTTGCACCAAAACCCTTCCATGGTTTGATGAGTGCCGAAACACAACCACATTAGGTTTCGAACTGCGCAAGCATCTTCGTCTGCTTGGCCTTGAATCTACATAACAGGCAATGTATATGTCCTGAAGAACATTTGGTCACGACTTCGACAACTGCGCGCCCTGCCCTCAAAAAAGGTGACTCCAAATTTTCGCACACATTTGGCCTTGGGGTGCAGCTGTTTCAGCTTGCAAAAACCATTTGTTCTTGTCTTGATTCATAAAAGGCAAGGACCAGGAGCTCAATCATGCCGCGACTCCCGTCATAAGCTGCTGCAGCTAAAACAGCCTCAAAGAATGCCAAAAACCTACAGCTTGCATTCTCGATTTCTGTGAAAAATACATGAAAAATAGAAACGAGGCCAGCCTTTGCAAACGTTTGATACGTACATACATACATACATACATACATACGGCTCAAATGGCTCAAGCCGCGAGCGTGTTTTGCGCGGGATCTCATTGGAGGTCGTTTGTTTTGCGCAGGATCTCATCGGAGGTCGTTTGTTTTGCGCGGGATCTCATCGGAGGTCGGTTGTTTTGTGACGGATGTCATCGACATCCATCACAAATGGAAAACTTCATGGTACATGAGATTCTGGATATTGCCTTAGGAACTGATCAGCCCAAGACTTGGAGAAGCCTAAGTGAAAAAATTGCCTGGGTCAAAGGGGGTGGGTAGGTTGGAGGTCATCACTAGGAGGTTGGAGGCCATCGTGACGGGGTTGGAGGCCATCGCTCTTGGTTCACAAAGGTCAAGACTCAAAAGTGCAGGGCGAGACTCAAATGCGCAGGTCGTCACGTCCCGGGCAAAGTCTACCACGTGCCCGGCGGAAGACACAATGCACCTCGATCGTGCGTTGACACGTTGCGGACACTCCAGGACGGGGCTAACGATGGACGCCGGTCGGGCTGGCCTCGGCTGGCAACCTATTGTGAACCTTCCCCCCGTCACCCACTTACTTGCGCACGGGATAACGGGATAACTCTCAGTTTCGATCCGCGTCAGCTACACCGGTTCTGCCACTGGTGACGGATGGACAGGTCCGGACTTCACTGCGGTGTGGTTGGCGTTCTAAATACACCCAGTTTACCTTCAGGGCATGGAACGTTCGTTCCTTGTATACCGCCTCTGGGAAGGCACTGAACCCAAAAAACTCCAGGGTTTATGTACGGAACTTTCTAGACAAAATCTTTCACTTTGCGCTATCTCGGAACACCGCTGGAAGGATACTGTTCGCTTTAATTCGGTTAACTCTGAGCGCACGTTTGTCTACTCTGGCGTACCTCACACGGACATGGCGCGTAAGGGCGTTGGCTTTCTACTTAACCGTCCTCTGCTCCGGGCGTGGCAAGACGCTGGAGAATTTTGTGGCTTTGATGGCGCCCGGTTGTTGAGGACTCGCCGTCTGCTACGTGGTCGGTTCATCACCCTTATTTCTTGCTACGCACCTACCTTTCAGTGCTCGGCTGCGGAAAAGGAAACCTTCTATTCTTCCCTTGCTGCTACGCTGGACTCTGCGCCTGCGCGTGACGGCTGCGCTGGTAGTGACCACGAACCTGAGGCTCCTGTCAGGACCGCGCGGCCTTTTCTTGCCACTCGTACCCGCGAACGACTCCGGATTATGAGTACTTGTCTTGAACACCAACACTATGGCACGTCTCGTTTCACCACAAGTCCAAACGGTGGTTTCAATTTGATCATGTCATTACGTCGTCGCGTACGACTGGTTTGGTAACTGATGCTCGCACCACGATAGGATATGAACATAACGCCGATCATCGATGCGTCCGTCTCCGTCTCCGCCTTCTTATGTCCTTCCCGCTGTTTAGTCATGCCCTACGCAGGGTTGCCTATTCCCATCTCGGACCTGTCCAATCCTCGCATGAGCCCCCGTAAAAGGCTGACGAGCAAGAACGTTTAGCCGATTTGAGCCTTCTCAAGAGGGGCGCCGCTGCCTCATCCGCGGAGGGTTGTCATTCTATGGAATTTGAGGCTGCCTGTCGGTATGTCAAACAGGATACCAAGAAGATTGCCAATGACTGAATGGTGGCCAAGGCACGGAACATTCAGGACGCGGTCGATGCCCGTGATCCTAACTTTCACACGTCCTGTCTCATGGTCGTCGTCCCTCCTCCAAGCTGCATAATGCGCAAGGTGAACTCTTGCTTATGAAGCCTGAGCGCATTGCCCGTTGACATGAGTACTTCCAGGCATTGCTCAATGTTCCCGCACTGTTGCTGATATTGATCCAGATCTCATCGCGGAACTTGTCCCGGCTCCTTCACTTGCTAATCCCCCTACATTCTTGCGGCTCTCAGCCGCTTACACAAGGGCAAGGCTTGTGGCCCGGATGGGATTGAGGCCGAACTGTTGCTTTGCATATCCGTCAATTGTTCACTCGTGTCTGGTCTGGGTTGGAACCTATGCCTACGTCCTGGAAGGAGTCCTATCTTGCGCCATTGCCCAAAAAAGGAGATTTGTCGCAACGCAGTCGGCGGCGTGGAATTCTTGTGTCCAGCATCCCGCAAAAGGTTTTTGTTCGAATTTTAACTGCCCGGCTCAACGCCCACGTCGAAATTGCCAACTCTTTTCCGGAATCCCAATGTGGCTTTCGCGCCGGGCGCGGGACTATGGACATGGTGTTCTGCATGCATTAGATTGGTCATGGAGACTGCTACCCTTTGCCAGGTTTCGGTGCATTTCTTGTTCGTAAATTTAACCTTAAAGCCTATGACTCGGTTTGCCGCGCGGGTCTGTGGCAAATACTTCAAAAAAAGAGTGTTCCGCCTGCCTTCATCAACCTTCTGCGCGAATACGAAACTGAAAAACTGCCTCTGTGCTGGTTGAAGGCGACCTCTCGGAGCCTTTCTGGTTGGAAACGGGCCATGGACAAGGCTGCTGCGCTGCCCTGTCTTTATTCAACATCTTTTAGGCGCGGTATTCGAGGCTTGGCAGCGGTCGTCCCCTGGTGGCCTCAGCTGACTTACTCGCCTGGATGGTGTACTACATCGTCGCAAGGCCTTTGATAAGCACACCCAATGGAAACCATGTCTGCTTGAGGAATTTGGTTACGCAGATGACGCCGCTTTGATTGCTGATACCAATGCGTCCCTGACCGCCAAGGCTCGTGCCTTTCAAACCCATGTCTCTAAGGCGTTGTCCACCAATGCGTCGGCTGCCCCGTGAAGGTGACGAAGTGATAGACTTCTGCCCCTCCTTTGAGTACCTTGGCGCGATCATACATCAGAATTGGATCGTCTCAACCGGGCTCGTAAAACTTTTTGGTCTCTTAATTCGTCAGTATGGAGTCTCCGGTACCTACGTATCGATACCAAGTTGCGTTTTTACCGGTCTGCTGTCCTCTCGGTATTGCTCTATGGCGCTGAAGTCTGGACGTACACCTATCCTACCCGAAAGGCTCTTGCCTCATTTCTATGACCTGCTTGCGCCGCATGTCTGGCATCTCGCTTTTTACACAGGAACGGTTGCCTCTCAATGACGCCGGCACGCATTCTTGGCTGGGGGTTCCGTTCATTGATGACTTCGTTCGTCAGGCGCGTCTACGCTGGCTCGGCCATGTTGCACGTACGCCGGACATCGGTTACCCAAGAGGCTCTTTTTTGCGCTCTGGGAAGATGAGGAGTCAACCACACAGCCGCGTCACGCGTCGAGGTGCACCAAGCAAGGTGGCCCTCGTCGCTTTTTGGCAGAACTGGAGCCAACCGTGCTTTGGTCGACCAACAGCAGCCATATCCTTAACATAAGCCTCACGTAAACGTTTTCTCGGCAGAGCCTAGTGCCCGGAGGCCGAGGAGCGCCAGAATCAGGAGCCAAAGTGGGGCGTTCCTCCCCCGTCTCGCGAAGATGAATGTGACAAATTACGGCGCGTAGCTGCGCCTGTCCACAAAAAGCCTGGGCGCGCCTGCCGCCTGCCCTTTATGCAACGTCCTCGCTCCTCAATCCGCGTTCCTGGCTCTTGAACTTGCCCAATTAAGGGGGACAGGCTGCTCTCTACCAGGAGATTACTGACTTCATTCTAGGCCAGTTTGATCTGCACCCTGCAGCCACGTTTGATGACCTGCTAACCATGCTGATCACTGGGACACTCTGAGCCACGACGAGGGCGATCTGGCGCTTTTGAGCGCAGCTCTCCATACTGTTCTTCAACAGGCTGCTGGCGCGTCTTCGGCCCGTCTTCACACGGTTCTAACTCCGAGGCGCATCTCCGGAAAAGGGCGGCCAACATATGCTGGACCGACAGGCCACTCAGACTACGTCCCCTGTGGCCAGGGCCAAGTCCAAATACTGAGGTGTCTCGTACATGGGACACCGCGGCCGGCCGTTATGTCTGTACCATTCCTGGCTGTGGCAAACTAAAGCAAGGTCTATCCCATCATACAAGTTGTTAAGCCATCGAGAAGGCACCTCCCGCGCCGGAGGTTTTGATTGCCATTTGTGCCCGAGGTCCTTTGACCGCGACAGTGCCCTTAGTCGGCACCTTCCCTGGGAACAGGACGCTGGCCCTCTCTCTGTCTGCCATGCAATTTGGCCCAGCCGTGTCACGCCTAGCTGTCTTCCTCTGTTTTTGCTTCTGCCGCTGCGCTGACTGCCATGGGTGCCCGCGTTACCCCTTTGGAATCTCGTGGCTACATTTACTGCCAAATTTTACGGCCATGCCAACGTTTCGGCAACTCGTGGTGTTCGCCCTGGGTGAACTGGTTCCACACGCCCCCTGCCGCTTAAGTTCCAGTTCTTTCAGGCAATGGTCACACAGCCTGGGGCCCAGGGAGTGGAGGGAGAGCCTCTTGACCTTCTGTCCGCCGCTGGCAAAGAGGCGATTCATGGAGCCAAGCCGGAGGGACGCCACTCCGTGGATCCTTGATTTTACGTTCTCCAACACGGCTGGTGGACATCAGACTCGAGAATTGCGCCTCTCCCTCAAATCTTTCGACAAGAATCGTGCGCGGTGGGCTGGTTTGGACAGGGTTTTCACATGCAAAGGCTGAGTCGGGTGAGTGGGTCACAATTGCAACCGATTTCTGTCTTGTCTGAGTCAGACTCGCTAGCCGGGTACCACACCTCCGCGCGCAACGCGCAATCGGATTCTTGGTGAACCATCGCCGCGCAATCATCTCGCCCAATGTGTTTTCGTTCAGCAGCGCACTGCGAGAAACTAATCCGCGATTTGCAGCAAAACATCCACGCGACGCAAACTCCCAATTTGACCACCAAAACACTGCATCGCAGCTCTCACCGTGGGCGACTCACGACTTAATAAAAATTGAACCTTGAACAGGACTAGAACAACCAACCTTAATTACCAGGCTGTGCACGTTGACTAAACAATAGCGAGGCAGCTTTTGCTGGGACATCTCGAAGGAAACCGCGCGTGCACTTGGCTCTTGAACAATTCCGGGTCAACCCTTCATGCTCTCTTCAGTTCGCAGCTGCCTCTGCAACAAGCAACCGTTGCTCCCGGAACAGCTGCGCGACCTGGCCACAGGTGAGCACTGTGGCATTATGAGCCCTAAGAGTCTGAGTAGGTCTCAGCTCCAAGGGACCTGGCCACAGTCGATGAGGGCCACTTTGCCTCCCTCCAACACAAAAATGTTCCTGCGCATTGTAAGAGCATCAATCACCTTGTCAGCGCTAACCAATTCCAAAAATACGGCTAGACGACCCTGGGTGTGGGTCTCCATGGATAAAGCCAGAAGAAAACACCATCCTTCCTCGGCACGCGCCCACACTCAATTAAAGCGCCTTCAGCAAAGTGGTTTCGTTCTAGCTTTAGCAAAATGTATTGTTGCCAAATTACCAAGCAAGAAGCTGGTGTGGGCTGCTGTCGCCCATCATATTTCACGTTGAGGCCAACTTGCCAAACAAAAGAACTACTTTTCTGGACCAATATCGAGGCAAACTTGGAGAAGCGCCATAAGCTGTAGTCAGGGCTTCCAGGATTCGCCGGCCCAGCGCCTGCTTTTTCTGACGTGGGATCAACGCAAGGTGGCACGATCAGGCACGTGTTGCAAAAGGCGCCTTGCCAGCACTGCTGCCAAGATCGATGCCAAGCTCCTGCTCCAAGAAACAGCATGGGTGAGACAAAGATTGAATCATACGCGAAGGATGTTACAACTTGTTAAGCAATTTCCCCGCCAGCACCAAGGGGCTCCCAACAGCTCAGACAAAAGAGAGAAGATGCACAAATAAATTGAAATGCGCGGTAAATTACCGGGCTTGCAGAGCTCCGAATGAAACCTATAACTAACACTCCACACCCAAGATTTACCTGCTTTCAACATGATCTCCAGAGCTACCAGTTCAACCGAGAGCAGTGCCAAGAGCAGCACGACGAGAGGCCCGAAGGCTTTTGGAACACAACCCCATAAAAACTACACACGGGCGGCGAATGGTCGTGGGCGGTTGAAAGCGGCCTGCTTAATACTGATCAAAGGACGTACCAGGACCAACAAGTAAGCGCGAGGCATCCTTATATGTTCCAACTCCCAATCAATTCTGGGTCTACCTGGTCTTCCATGAGCCGGGCTTTTAGGAGCTTTAAGAATGACTTGCGCAATCACTGAACGGAGAATGTGCCCAAGTAATTGACATTTTGTTTCTCGCCATGAACCTCTGAAAGATTCAAGAGTATACAGTCGTGTTGCTGTTGGACGCAGGCGTGCATTCGCGCATTGGTTTGGTCTCTGGGCCCCAACCCCCTTCTCAAGCATTAGTTTTGAAAAGGATTTGCCGCGAAATGTCAGGTTAGTTGATTGCATTCCAGACCATAGAAGAATTTAGATTTGACAATGGCGTTGAACACCCGGGCGTTCCATTTAACGCTGGCCTTCGCTTTTGCACAAAAAAGTTAAGCCGAGCGCGCGCGGTATTACAATACCGCTTTGTCTATTTGAGACTTCCGCCTTGTTGTCAAAAGTGTCTGACGGCAAAATACCTAGGTATGAATGAGGCCGTGTTCTTCCGCGAAACCTCAGCGCTCTGCGCAGGGCCGTTAGGCGCAAAACGCACTGAGGATTGTTGCTGGTTGGAAATCAGATTGGCCCATTTCCACAAGTCAAATTTCATAAAGATGTAGGAAGAGCGACCCTCAATAGCGTGAAGAAAAACATTGATGAAACGAGTGTTGGCCCCAATGATAAGGGCGTCAACAGCGTATGGTCCGTCAATAGGCTCCGGTTGTCTAGGGGTGTTTATAGCTCTTGCTTCAGATCTGCGAACGACGCACCCATGACCAAACATAAAAGAGAAGAAGACAAATGGCACCCTGGGCGTCGCCTTGGCGAATATACCAGTGCTTTAAATGGCGTTTCCAATCCAATTCCTGCCCTTCATGGAAACACAAAAAAGATGTTCGCTGCGAAAACTTGGGCGAGAGGAAAAGTCGGCCTGGAACATTAAGGCAGATCAGGGTTTCAATCATCTATTTCTTTTTTGAAATATGTCGAACGCCTTCTTCCAGTCAACGAAGATGAGAGTCCTTGCAGTGTTTGGATCCTTCTTGCCAAGAAAATGGATTGAGCAGTGTTTCGAGCTGAGCGGCGCATGTGGCCCATGTCATCAGAAGGGAGCTATCGGTTTTGAAGGTTTGCATTGATTTGGGGAATCAGCACTCATGGTCTGACCAGAACACCATCAAAGGCCTGACTTCCAAGGAATACACCTTTAATCGAAGACCCCCTGGACAGGAGCATCCTTGAGGCTGCCCTCACAATTCGCCAAGCAGGCTTGACAGAAGAATGCCTTTTTGACCTTCTTTACTGGAGAAAGAACGCAAAATGACCAGTGGGGCGAACAGACACTTGAACCTTCAACGGGTTTTTGCAACTGAACGCTGGCTTCTTCTTTTTTTTGGCTATCAGAATCCGACGCGGTCGATGAGCTGAACGAAGAAGACGAGGAGCTGGATGCTGCAACCCCACCGCCACGCATACGACTCTTGCCTTCAGGCAAGAAGGCTTGCTGATCCGGTGTTCCCACGCAGTCTGATGAGATCGCATTCTTTGACGCTGCTGGAATCGTCAATTTCCAAAGTTACAGGCATTGAGCTGAAGACATGATGGTAAATGGCGCGCAGAAAAAATGCACACCTCTCTCGTATCATATGGGAAGATGTTGGATCACGTTTTCTGTGCGCGGTGTTCCTTTCCAGCTTTCGCCCTTTCAATGTACGCCGTTACCCGAAAAGTCGATCGCAAATGCTCTGGCTACGCTCCCCGCAGCCATAGTGGACTTGAATGTCACGCAGTAATGGGGCCCAGGGTCACTTGCACATCCATGCGAGCGCTTGCAAAAAATTGCTCTCCTCTAAAAATTGCGAGATTGGCAAAGTAAGTAGCTCCTTCCAGTCAGGGAGATATTGCGCCTGTTGGAGGCTCAGTCTGCAACTGCTTCAATATCGGCGACTCTGCCCTAGGGCGCGCGCTGCCTCCAAACACACGAAGGTGATGTTGACTACAAGGGAAGGAAGTCCCTGGACGCTTGTGGCACGCCGTCCTCTCACTGTGCCTTGCAACAAAATGCTCCAAACAGAAATGGCTTGCAGAAGCTGAACGACATTGCTCAAGGCAAAGCCCGGCTTTGTCAAGAGATGGTCTAAACGGCTTGACAAAAAAGCAGCGGGCGCGAGCCTTCTTGAAACGAAGCAAAGCACAAGCCCTCGCAGATGTGAACAAAAGGCAGCTGTATCGACGCGCGCAGAGGGTGGTGGACACCATGTCCGGCTTTCCATCCAGTGAGGATGCAGCAGACATCCTTTCAAAGGCAGCGGCGTTGCTGCAAGATGTGTGCCCTGGCCTAGTTGCACGGCTCGCGGAAAAGCTGAATGTCAGTACACCACCTGCAGAACCTTGCGGCGTTGTGAGAGAGAGCGAGAGAGAGAGAGAGACCACATTAACCGATTGGTGTGCGAGGAAAGACGTTTGATCGAAGCAGACCAACAGAAGTGTGAACCAAGCAGAGGTGGCAGGCCTTCCTTGTCAATGACAAGGGCCGCAGTGAAGGAAGGTCTAGAGTCTAGAGAAGCTCACCTCCCGCAGAATTTTTTAATACGCATTTCCGCCGCTGCAAGAAGCCACGCGCTGCGTCAGACATGCGCCAGTATTGCCACAACTATAGCAACAGGTTTTGCCCATGAGCGGCAAAATGATGGGAGAACAGCGCCAGCAGCTAGAAGGGACGCCCTCCCACTTCAAAGCTTGGGGGGCGCAGCCTTTTGAACAACTTTTGGGCCTTTCAGGCCCACAAGGCCAGAGGCCCACACATGGGCCGCAGTAGTAAGGAACAAGATGGAGCCAACGAACTCGAACGCAAACACGTTCGAAAAGCTACATATGTCCAAATGACACTCTTGTAGGACACTCTTGTGGGACACTCTTGTGGGTCACTCTTGTAGGAAACTCTTGTAGGACACTCTTAGGGGACACTCCTGTGGGACACTCTAGTAGGAAACTCTTGTGGGACAATTTTACGGGACACTCTTATGGGACACTCTTGTGGGACACTCTTACGGGACACTCTTGTAGGACACTCTTGTGGGACACTCTTGTAGGACACTTGTGGGACACTCTTACGGGATACTCTTGTAGCACACTCTTGTACGACACTCTTGCGGTCACTCTTATGGGACACGGACACACTTGTGAGACACTCTTGTAGGACACTCTTGTGGGTCACTCTTACAGGACACTCTTGTAGGACACTCTCGTAGGACACTCTTGTGGGACACTCTTGCGGGACACTCTTGTGGGACAGTCTTGTAGGAAACTCTTGTGGGGCACTCTAAAAGGACACTCTTGTGGGACACTCTTGTCGGACACTCTTGTGGGACACGCTTGTCTTGTGGGACACTCTTGTGGGACACTCTTGTACGAAACTCTTGTGGGACACTTTGTAGGACACTCTTGTGGGACACTCTTATAGTACACTCTTAAGGGGCACTCTTGTGAGTCACTGTTGTGGGACACTGTTGCGGGACACTCTTGTGGGACACTCTTGTGGGACACTCTTACGTGACACTCTTGTAGGGCACTCTTGTGGGACACTCTTGTAGCACACATTTTGTTGGGCACTCTTACGGGACCCTCTTGTAGCACACTCTTGTAGGACACTCTTGTGGGACACTCTTGTGGGACACTCTTGTGGGACACTCATACGGGACACTCTTGTGGGACACTCTTGTAGGACACTCTCGTGGGACACCCTGGGACACTCTTGCGGGAAGGAAACTCTTGTGGGATACTCTTGTAGGACACTCTTGTGGGACACCCTTGTGGGACACTCCTGCGGGACACTCATTTGGGACACTCTTGTGGGACACTCTTGTAGGACACTCTTGTGGGACACTCTTGTAGGACACGCTTGTGGGACACTCTTACGGGACACTCTTGTTGCACACTCTTGTAGAACACTCTTGTGGGTCACTCTTATGGGAAACTCTTGTCGGACACTCTTGTCGGACACACTTGTGAGACACTCTTGTGGGACACTCTTGTGGGACACTCATACGGGACAATGTTGCGGGACACTCTTGTAGGACACTCTTGTGGGACACTGTTGCGGGGCACTCTTGTGGGACACTCTTAAGGGACACTCTTGTGAGACACTCTTGCGGGGCACTGTTGCGGGACACTCTTGTGGGACACTCGTTTGGGCCACTCTTGTGGGACACTCTTGTGGGACACTCTTGTGGGACACTCGCGGGACACTCTTGTGGGACACTCTTCTAGGAAACTCTTGCGGGACACTCTTGTGGGACACTCTTGTAGGACACTCTTGCGGGACACTCTTGTAGGACACTCTTGTGGGACGCTCTTGTAGGACGTTCCTGTAGGACACTCTTGTAGGACACTCTTGTGGGACACTCTTGTAGGACACTCTTGTGGGACACTCTTACGGGACACTCTTGTTGCACGCTCTTGTAGGACACTCTTGTGGGTCACTCTTATGGGACACTCTTGTCGGACACTCTTGTGGGACACGCTTGTGAGACACTCTTGTGGGACACTCTTGTGGGACACTCATACGGGACACTCTTGTGGGACACTCTTGTAGGACACTCTTGTGGGACACTCTTGTGGGACACTCTTTCGGGACACTCTTGTAGGAAAATGTTGTGGGATACTCTTGTAGGACACTCTTGTCAGACACTCTTGTAGGACACTCTTGTGGGACACTCCTGTAGGACACTCTTGTGGGACACTCTGGCGGCGCACACTTGTGGGACACTCTTGTGGGAAACTCTTGTGGGACACTCTTGTAGGACACACTTGTGGGACACTCTTATAGGACACTCTTGTGGGACACTCTTAAGGGACACTCTTGTGAGACACTCATGTGGGACACTCTTGTGGGACACTCATACGGGACACTCTTGTGGGACACTCTTGTGGGACACTCTTGTAGGACACTCTTGTGGGACACTCTTGTGGGACACTCTTGTGGGACACTCTTGTAGGACACTCTTGTGGGACACTCTTGTAGGGCACACTCTTCGTGCGAGACTTCCTTCAAATGTCACGCTGCGAGGCTGCAAGACGAGCGTTTCGTACGAGACTTCCTCCAAAAGTCACGCGTCAAGTCTCAAAAACGAGCGTTTCGCGTGAGACTTCCTCCAAAAGTCACACGTCAGGTCTCCAAAACGAGCGTTTCGTACGGGACTTCCTCCAAAAGTCACACGTCAAGTCCCCCAAACAAGCGTTTCGTATGAGACTTCCTCTGCGGTTGCGAACGGTTGCGGATGGTTGCGAACGGTTGCGGACGGTCGCGGACGTGGAAACAACGGGTCGCGAACAAGGCTCTACCCCCAGACCCCCAGAGTTACACAAGAACCCTTCGCTACGCATTCGGAAAAAAGCCATAGAACGCTTTGCGTCACATGTGCTGCAACAAGACCATGGAGACCAGGCCACAGAAGCAGAGCCAGTCAAAAGGTGTGATGGACACCAAACGCCGTGAGACCAATGAGACAAATGTTGCGACCTCAATGGAGACAGTCCTGCTGCAGCAGGGCATGTCAGACAGTCTCTTGGTTTTGTTACATTGGTTTTTGTTTACTGTCCCCTTTGGGAACCCTTTTGCAGGTCTATTTTTCCAGTTTCCTTGCCCTCGCAAATCCAAGGCTTCGCGCCCAGCAGACGCCTGGAAGCCAATGATGCCATGAAGCATGGTGAGGACGTACTTGAAGGTACCAGTGGGCAAAGCAACTAGTCCGCGCGATGACAAGAACTTCTTCCAACCACGAGGACACTTCTCCTGAAAAAGTGGAGCAGGCTCCATGAAACACGGATTGCGGCAAAAACGTCGCTTGAGCTTTGCTTGACACAGAGCCTTGAGGAGAAGTTGGAAGAAGCGCAAAGATGGCATGGCAACCCGAAGCCAGAGTGTGATGTGGGCCACGCCCGCAAATCTACCAAGTGGTTCTATAGACTCATCAAAAGTGAGAAGAGAAGGGCGGTTAGAGGAACTTGCATTTGAGGTTGGCCCTTCAACTGAGTGACATAGGCCTCAACAACGCCTGCATGTGAAGCATCGTCTGCTGGCACCGTGGTGCCTTTGTGGCTGGTGCGGTCCTCTGTCTGCAAGGGCTCCTGGAAGCGGGCTGTTTGTTGAAAGGGACATGTACCCACACACTTCAACCCAATGTTGACACGCATTGAAACTTTGAGAGCCCCCAACCACCCACTTCTGGTTGGACATTGTAGCCTCCTTGCACCAAAGCTGTGGCCGCCCTAGTGGTGTAAACAAGTCTTCGCGAACAACTCAGAAAGTGACATGGTAGGAGTTTGCTTTGCACCGGGCAATGTCAAAGCCTCGCGTCACAGAGCGCACAAGAGGCGAAGCGCACCCCCTTGCAGGGCATTGCACGCAGCAATGGTCTAGACACTGCATCTTGGAAAGCACTTGGGCGAAGGCCTGCAGTGATACGAGGAGTGGAATCAAAGGGCAGAAAAATCACACTATCAAAAAACTGTAAATATCGTTTTTGGTTCCCGACCCTCCTGACTACCAAGACTGCCATGTTCAAAAATTAAAAGCATGTCCAGCCTCCTTTAAGCTATACATAAGGATAGGTTTTGACAGGTGCTCATATTGCGTCTGCATCAGCCACCCATTTAGACCTTTCTTTCACTAGCGCAGCTAAGAGGGAGATAGGGCGATAGTTGGATGAGAGCTGAGAGGAGTCCCCCTTGTTGCAAATGGAGACCACAAGCGCTTTGAGGTGATGAGAACAGAAAAACATTGGTTTGTGGCAGCCAGTACAGGTTGACGGTAAAAAAAAGATCTGACGCATCATGCAACGTAAACAACTAGTGTTTTCAGCTCCTTTGCTCTTTCCTCCAATTTCGACAGTGGAGTGCCCTTGATGAAATCCATCACTGGCAAGTGAAGCAAATTCTTACTTTTCTTTGTTCTTTACGCAAACAGACTCGGACTCCATGGCAGAAGCAAATTCGAGCTAAGCAAAATGCATTTGAGCAAGTAACAAAGAAACCTCACTATCAGCCTAGAACTTTGCGAGTTGCCATGCCAGGGATTGGAAGTGGCACAACCTTGCAGCACATCTGCATAAATATAAATACCGTGTATATATATAATATAAAGCAAGATTCAGCGGTCCACTGCTACCACCTCACCATCGAACCATAGCCAAGGAAGGCACCAAAGGTGCCTCAAGCTCTTTCCCCAATGCATTGTGGCGGATAGATGCCGCCACCTTCCCAAAAGCGGACACATGATGCCGATGAATGCATCATGCGACAATGTCACGATGTGGACCCAGTTCCAAAAAAAGAAGAATCTCAATGTGTTGCGCTGAACTTGTTTTAGTCCCCGGTCTGATGCTTGCCAGCGTCACTTCCACACATTTGTGGAAAACCAGCCTCTGGAAAAACATCGACGGTGTCTTCTATTGTTTGACCGACGCAATGCTGCTACATGATGCATACTCTGAATTCATTACTTGCACTCCTACACCGCTTTACGGTGAAGTGCCAAACAAAGCTCGTCGAATTTCCCTAGTCTATAAGCACTTGTTGTCAAACAATGCTCTTCAATTTGTCTGTCTTCTTTTCGCTTCCACCATGAACTGAATAGATCAAAGATCCTTGGACAGGGAAGGGGTACTTTGAAAGATCTGCCGACAGCTGGGAATCGTAAGAACGTCTCTCATAATCGCGGTAGAACCCAACCAACTGTGAGAGGAACAGGTACAGTGAATGTCTCACTTAATAGGCGTGAGACTTGGATAGTTTCCTCAAGGGTTTGTCAGGAGGGTGCTTTACAACAGTGACACAGCTGCATATAGTCAGCATGAATCACGAAACTTGTAGTTGTCAGCCTAGCCAGTTCATTTCGAAGGACCGAACTGGAAGAAGGATCTGCGAGGTTAGTTACTGAAGCATGGAAATGCTGTATGTGTCTTAAAGTCCAAATAGAAACAAAGGGTGTTCCGAATGAGCGTGCTGGATAAACGAACCTGAGTGCGTGCACAAAAAAGGGCTTCCAAACAGGCACTATTGCTGCAAGGAACTAACTTTGTTTTTTCCTCCTAGTTCAAGAGCATATTCTGAGAATTGGGCGCGTTACACGTTTACTTTTTTGTTCTGCTGTATGGACCGAGGGTGTGGTTGTCTAGTTGGGGTTTTGCTGTTTCTTGCTTGAAGATGGACAACTATCCTTCATCTACATAGGGTTTGTATTTCTTCGGTGTGGTAAGTAAGCACCTGTCATTCCGCACTATTCATTGTTTGTGCTTTGGGAGGATCAAAAAAACCTTCACAATTACCACTTGTCAAAGGAGTAGCAAACACGAGACCACCAATAACTTCCAAAGCCTGAGAGGGGCTACCCCAAAGTCCTGAACTGGCCATATGCCCAAAAGGGACCAACTTCGCTCCTCCAGATGTCAACTTCCTATGTTTTGCTAGTTGAATAGTAAGTCTTGGCTCTAATAAATCGACAAGGCCGGGACACCAGGTAAAAGCACAGCCAGAATGCAAAACAAAAGTAAACTAAGGACACTGCTGGAAAAATAGAACGCAAAACCAACGAAACGGGACACCAAGGTCACCAATGAGTAAATCTTTGTGTATATTTAAGTATTCAATATATCCAAACCGCAAGCCAGCAAACGATAGACGCTCCTCTTGCACGCCGTGGGAACGGTTCTCAGTCGTGAGCGACGTGACTGGGCCGGTTTCTTCCACCGGGCACTCAACCGTTAGGAGACCGAGGAATGGTAAATCCCAATGCTCTCGGTATCCCCATGTCTGGTTGTGGACTAGCCAGCGAGACTGCGAGGACGGGCGCAGTGGGGTCCCCAAGAAAAGTTAAAAGGAAAGTCGGCCCATGCAAAAGAAATTTTGGGCATGCATTCAGTGGCTCTCATGCATTTCATGAGGGTGAACTCAAGTCGGCTCGGGCAGCCGGCCACAACTGTAAAGGATTGCAAGCAACACGCAGCCCAGGGCTGGGTGACAAATAAAGGATTGCAAGGCAGAGGCGGATACAGCAATCTAGAGCTGGGAGACAAACGCAAAGGCTTGCGAGGACACATGTACAGGATTGCACGGCAGAGGCGGACACAGCAGTCAGAGCTAGGAGACAAATATAAAATTAAGGATTGCAAGGCAGAGGCGGACACAGCAGCCCAGCGCTGCGTTGCAAGGCAACAGCAGCCCAGAGCTGGGAGACACATGTAGACACAGGGATACAAATGACAATGTAAAGGATTGCAAGCGACACGCGGCCAAGAGCTGGGAGACAAATGTAATATTGCAGAGGAGAGCAGCTGGGAGACAAATGTGAAGGGTTGCAAGCGAGAGGGGGAGAGAGGAGGCAACTGTAAGAGAGGGGAGACAAGACGGACACAGTGCCCAACAAGAAGGGAGACAAGACCGGAGACAAAGGGAGACAGAAGGGAGACAAGGCGCACACAATGACCAACAAAACAAAAAGAAACAGAAGGGAGACAAGACGGACACAGTGACCAACAACAAGGGGGGACAAGACTAGAAACAAAAAGAAACAGAACGAAGACAAGGCG